GTGCGCCCTGATTGAAGGGCCTGCCTGCCACCGATCGTAGACTGATGGAATCTATGGAAAGCCCCAAGGCAAAACGTTCACTGGATTTTTGATTTTGCTGTCAACGTCCGATGCTCGACCTCCTCAACACGATTGGGTTACACAGCCCATAATATCCCAACCACGACCCACTGGGAGCGGCATGTATTTTTTGTGTACTACACAATTAATTGAAGGCATCCGGTGCGATTACCTGTCAGATTGATCCTTCATGTGCGCTAACTGGGTAGGAACACAGCGCCCGCTTCTCACTGAGGCCATATTCATCGGCCTTGATTTCATGTGTAAATTCCAGTGTAACCACTGAAGAGGAATCATTGGCCTCAATCAAGCTCAGCAATTGTAACTAACTAAGAGGGTGCAGAGGCACCGGTTCACTGTTCTATTGGCGTAGCGAGTCCTCCGACTCAGTTGTCACGCATATGAGTAGAAAGAGTGATATATTTCTGCAAGCGCGCGGGTTCGGGTAGGCGCAAAGATATTCAAGAATCGGTCTAGCAAGTGAACGAAACGCTGCAGCATCGCCGTATTGGATCACTTCAGGTGCAAATGCCGCTTACGCGACACTATTTGCACCGCCGCCCTCGCAGAGGCATCGATATGCTGAACTAAACTCATCCCATACAAGGAAATGAGACATCACTCAGATAACCATGCATTGGGTTTTTGCAAAAGTATGAAGTTAACAGAAGTGAAGATACCTGCAAAAGGGCATCTCTGATCGAATAATTGTGCAGTGCTCACAATTTCTTTGACGGCTGGCAGCGGTAAGACAAGCAAAGCACAATGAATAGTCTCAGGCGGGGTATCAGTTCCAGTAAATTCCGGTAAACAAGATTTTTACCTACATCAAAAATACAAATGTTTATATTTAGCCTCGTCGAGGTGGAGGAACAGCGTCGTTCGCGGCGATTCGAAGAATCTCGCCGCAGCATCAAAGTCCGTCGCCAACCCAGTATGGAAGGGTACAATCAAAGGTGAGATCAACGTGCTTAAAACATTGTGTGGGGATGTTTTGTGACTTGGTCACCACTGGAACAGCCGCACGTTTCTGTAGTGTGCCATCTTGTTCGCTGCGGGTGGATGGGTGTGCCAGGGAGAGGGATGCCGTTAGCCGGGACGCCAGCCCGTTTTCCACCAAGTTGTTATCGCTTGCTAGTTTCCTCAGTGGGAAACGAACTAGCGTCCCACCAAGCTCGGCCTCCCCCTTGACACGCGCCAGCATACGCAGCGAACAAGATTGTAGCTCTGCAGAGCCTGGTTGCCTTTGTGCAAAGCTTTTTGACCCAGCTGATCTCTAATTCTGAGGATGTTTAGGCCTATCGATACCGGACAAATGCCAACGCCAACCTCCTCTCTACAAGAGCTGCCGTTCCATAGTCCCGGTTGGCACTCGATGACTTTCTAGAAAAATTCCCGAGGAGAATACCGTAACACGACTTGAGTGGAGGTCCGTAAGCACATTCCTCCTATATTACTTTCGTGAAAGAATTTACACTTTACGAACAACTCCCAGAGAAGCTGAAAGGGGAGAGAGTACGTCAGCTAGAACGGGGCTACAGCATGGAGACACATGACCGTCCAACGTATTCGGAAGAAATGCGTCGTGCGGCAGAGGAAAGGAAACGCGATGAACGAGAAAGAGTGGCATCGAATGAAGAGGTTGAGCATCGGAAGCCTCGTATTCAAAGACAACCACCTGTTCATCTGACGCGAATCAGGCCGCCATCGTATGTCATACAGAGAAAAACGGTGAGCTATTCTTGCTTTTACTGGCGACTCATTAAGTTCTTCAGAGCCGACTATTCGTTCAGTCGTAATTCTTGGTAGAATGTGAACCTGGATGGTAATAACACTTTTTTGAAGCTAAATCCTATCACAGCTCAGTCTCACTATAGATGGTTATCCACCTAGCGTTTCGGGTGAACAGTGGAACCGAGGAGTTAGCTTACAGTTAGCTGGCGTTTTGGGAGAATGTGAGCCGAGACATTGTATCGATCGGTGTTTTTAGCCAGTGCTTGAGAGAACATAGTAGTATGGGATGGTCCCAGATGGAGTGATCAGGCTTTAAAGACGAACCCTGCCAATGTATAATGTGGATAGTTATCACAAGAATGCTGAGTTGTGGGCAAAAGTCGTGCCCCAGGCGGGAGTCGAACCCGCACCTCACGCTTTCCGGGCGAGTGCGCTATCCGTTACGCCACCAGGGCCGCTTTTACCCTCTCAGCTTAACGGCTTATTGCCGTAGAAGATCCCATCGATTACGGCTGACCGGCTCACCAAGTTAAACGTGTGAGTGCTGTAAGGTTACGGCATAAGCCGTTAAGAGAGGGTAAAAGCGGCCCTGGTGGCGTAACGGATAGCGCACTCGCCCGGAAAGCGTGAGGTGCGGGTTCGACTCCCGCCTGGGGCACGACTTTTGCCCACAACTCAGCATTCTTGTGATAACATTCGGAACGCGTACTGCGGCGTTAAACAGCAGTTATCATAACAAAACAAAATGTGGTAGTAGTGTTCACTTTCAAACCTATGTTGCCTAGTTGCCCTAGTTGCCAAATGACTTTTCAGGAAAAAAGCAAGAAAAAGACTGGAAGACATCCTATGTAGGACCTAACAGTCCCTCTGGACAGTTCTAAGGAACCTGCTTGTTTTGTGGCCCACAAAAGTCGATATATCTACCTCCTCTGAGCTTGCTAATCGTTTTCTTAAACGTCATCCAGTGACCCTAAATACCAAAACTAACGGTGAAGAAGAACGAAAAACGCGATGTGAAACTAACACTCGTGACAGGAAAATAAGCATTCAGATCCTGGTGGCGGGGCAAATAGAGGGGGCGTCAGAAACTGCCAGTTGTATGAGACAACAGCTCCTAAATCGTTACATGTGAAGGCGGTATAGTACAGAATACCGAAGACAAATTTCTCGCTTAAAGAGTGGGATAGTACCAGAGACTGAAGACCAGACTGCTTGGTTAAGAAAGGATCTTTACGACTCGCATGAGCGCGGGGACTGCAATCATGAGCATGTAACGATCGGCGTTTGCAGTGCTCGACGTCTATGAGGTTACCAGGCCTCGGAAACAGCAAAGTAGCTCTTTTGCAACCGCATTAAGTGTTTGCTATTTCACGGCGCCTGAGCACACCATCTAAGACCCTACTATCCTAATATCGCCCAAAACACTAGCGAGCTGCACACGTTGATACCCATCTATCACTTGGCGTACATCCCAGAAAGGCGGTTCGTTTGATTTCCTTAGAACGTTGGTTCTGCAGGGTCTCTCAGAATGTCAGAGGGATACCAATTCGTTGTTCGGCCCATAATCTCCTGAAACGCCAACTCCCCGATTCTCGACAGCAAAGTAGGAACGCAGTACTGCGCAGGAATACTTGCACTGGACAGGAAAGTTCAATCATAATTTCAGAAAACGCTTGAAGCTCGAACCGATACGAATACGAGGCCACCTGAACGGCATCCTGTAATGGAAGTTCTCGATCCTCCACGAACCTCGTGTGCCTCGCCACCTGGATCGACATCCAGTCGGTTACCGAAACCAGACAAGAAATCATGGCTGGACAAGATTCGAAGCATGAAACGATCTTAACGCTTTCCTGTCAGAACTCCTCTCTTGCCTTTGTTCCTCGTTTATGGAATTTAATTTTGAGCACTATTAACCCTTTACTGCCCCAACAATCCCGAATTGAGCCAGTTTCTGACCGACTTTTTTCTCCGTGGACAGATTTGGCTCAAATGTTGTCTCCTGGGGTATTTTGACCTCCTGAATACGAATATGACATTCGCTTAGCCCGAAACCTCCTGGCGCCCGCGCCACAGGCGCCGGTGATCTGGGTATTTTGGCGCCAGCACCTGTAGCGCGGGCGGCAGGAGGTTTTGCGCCGAGCGGATGTGATATTCGTGATCAGGGGGTCAAACCACCCCTGGGAGCAAGTTTTCAGCGAATTTGGTGATTTCGACTATTTTGGCGCCGGCGCCCGTGGCGCGAGGAGGT